TGTTTGATTATCAGAAGACTAATGGAGCTTCATGGCTTTGGAACTCCTGGGCCTGTTTCATTCCTACCCTACTGAGTCACTTGAATGTTGTCATTAAGAATGGGTGTTCTGTGAGATTGAATGATTTCAACTGGGTGCCTGGTGAACTTGGGAGAAACCTCTATTGAGAGTTCACATTGATGGCAATCTTTTTGCAGTAAAAGATCTGTTAGTGGCAGGAGGCTGTAGCTGGGATGAATGTCTTGTGAGAGTATTGTTTGAGGAGGCCACAACATCTAAAATTCTTAATATCAGTTCTCTGAATCCTGGAGCTGCTGATAAATGGTCATGTACCTTTCTGCACAAAGGGAAGTTTTCTGTGCACTGTGCTTACACTAATCTGTTAAAAGAAAAGATATGCTTAGAAAGAAAGGCAGTGCAGTGTTTTAGCTGAAGGCAATTGCAGAGCCAGACTGAGATGCTGGAAGCTAAAGGTTATTGGGAAAGTTAAGCACTTCATCTGGAGGTGTTTTTCTAACATCCTGGCTACCAATGAGAATTTAAATAAAAGGGGGATGAAGGTTGACCTGAAGTGTAAAATCTGTGGTGAGAGTGATGAGTCATTAGAGCATGTCTTATTCTATTGCAGTAGAGCACAGACCACATGGAAACTCTCCCCGGTTAGTTGGAATAGAATTTATCAAGATCAGATTACCTTCAAGGAATGGTGGTGGTGGATTAGTTTAATGAAGAAAGAGAAGTGTTGTGAAGATAGAATTCAGCTATCCACTTACATCCTCTGGTGGCTGTGGAGAGCTCGGAACCTCTGGATTTTTGAGAACATATGGCAATCTGAAACATGGATCCTCCATATGGCTATGCAGGACTGGACTGAGTTCATGAACAGAGATGTACTGAGCTAGCTGGGGCAGTGGAGAGTGAGCTAGGTCTCGTGTCAGTGGTTCATTCTTCTTTGCTTGTTGCTTTGCTTGTAGTGTTTTTAGTTCTGTTCCTGTAGTTCCTGTTTCTGTAGATAGGTGGTGAGTTTTGTTGCAGTTTGTATCTCGTGTAGGCAGTACGGTGTGTACTGGGCCTCCTCTTGTTTCTGTTTTGGTGTGTTCTCCTTATGTACTTTCCAGGATTTCCTGGTTTTTCTGAGTTATATTTTGATGCCGTTTGAAAAAAAAAAAATACTTCATAGTTCCTACTACTTTTTTCAATTTAGTTATTTATTTTTATTTGGAAACTGGACAAAATTGTAAGTTAGTAGTTGTAACTCCCTAGATTGCATTAGTGATAAAAATACATTAGTGGCTTTAAAATTAATTATACTGAAAGGCAATTTTTACAATGTAATTTCCTCAAGAAATAACAATAGAGTTATAGATATACATTACAAATAGATTAAAGATTATAAATTTAAATGGAAAAATAGGCATATATATATAGAAGGGATCTGTTGATATCCGGATCAGCCTGGCCAGATTCTAGCGGGTCGGTCCGTTAGACCGGGTAGAGCCGGACCCAGAACCCGGGGGGACCGAGCTGAGTAGAAGCGTAAGTGTCGAACTGAGTCGAGTAATTGTAAAATCCGGGTTAGCGGGGATATTTCCCGAGCCCGGTACCCTGCTCAGTGGATGCGTGCCGGTCTCGTTAGGTGCCGGTCAGGTAGAAGACTCCTGGGGGTCGCGTGAGTCCTTTGCGAAAAGGTGCCGATCAGATAATCCGGGGCTGCCCCCTTGGGGAATAGGTGTCGATCTCGGTGTCATTAAAATATTCGCCACTTGGAAGGTCATCATTGGGCGATGGGACGGGCTGTCATAGTCTGCCACTCTACAAGCAAGCCTAGTCAAGAAAGTCTGCCAGCATTAAACTCTCATGCCTACATTAAATGCCTGACAGGCAATGATTGAAGAAACCTCAAATCGCATTAATTAAACTGTCAGAGAGGCGCCGAACTGCTTTGCAAATCTACTGTGTGACAAGACCGGTGAACAGTACCTGAACAGTACCCCATTTAAGAA